AAGACACCGTAAACAGCTGTCCGACACTGTTTGAAAAAGAGTCAGATGACGTCAGATGCCTCTGCTTGCAGCCTCTAAATGGCAAACAGGTGGGGATAACATATGCTATAAGATGATTAGGGTGCACATTTATGCATACGCAATTATTGGTCTAGCTCTCAAATATGATTCATGAATTGATGTCGCTTTTCAGCACCAATCGAACGAACAGCAACCACTAAACAGGTCTTAACTGTCAGGCAGTCAGTGCCCTGTTTTGTGAAAGTTGAAATGAGTGCAACAACGATGGCCCAACTGCCAGTTTCTATTAGATGATGCTTTGAATCGTGCTTTACAGGTTAATTATTTACCAAGCTGAGTTCTCATAGAAGCAAGAAATTAAATTAGCAAAACAAAGCTATATAAAAAAAGAAATCACAGATGCAAGATTCCCAGATGCCAGATGAGACAAACTTTTATCTAATGTCCTTAAACCTGTTAAAACAGATTTATTGGTCACTTTGGCAACATTACCACTCATTAAATTTCAAGGAATTATCAGTCTCTTTGCCAGCTAGATGTTAACTGTGTCCATCTGCCGTCGGTGCTAGTTAGGTAGTGCACAGTGGAGTCTAGTGCCCAAAATTATTGCCGATGGGAGCAGTAGAAGTGAACCACAGTAATAAAGCTGTGAGAACACTGACCCAAAAGACACTACAATAGCTCTCTAAAGCCATGTTTTGTTGTCAAAATTAAAATATTGGCTACAGCTGCTTTAAAATTTAAACATTTCCCATCTTAATTTGTTTAGCTAATGTCGTTTACTTCAAAATAAGTGCCTGCAAAGTCTATTTTATAAACTTGCAGAGGGCACAGATAGTGTGAAGCAGGTGTCTGTTCCTGATAGGCCTTTGGCATTTCAGTCTCACACTGAAGTCGTCTCTCCCTGGAATGTAACACCAAACTGCCCTTGTCATCTCCATTTGAACTGTCAACATCCATGAAGGAGAAAACAGCTTCTTCTGCAAGCTTGCAACACACACAGACACACAGGCATACATATTCATACACTTGGGCGCATGTTGGTGTCCTTGATCTTCCCACTCTCCCTCTCTTCGTTTGCTCTCTCTCTCTAATCCTGTAATGCCAACAGTGCAATTAGTCACATGCCGGGTCTTTCTTTCATCTCTCCAGTCAGTGAGCGTGAGCTCAGGAGGAATTCTAACTGCTTGGTATCTAAACTACATAACCCACCCCGGTCCTGGAGTAAAATGCAGATATGCACATAAACATATTAAAATACCGAAGGTTCAAACACAAGCCTTTCTGACTGTAAAATGTCCTTGATTTTGAAAGGAAGGTGAATTATGCTGCGGCAAATGTCCTGTCTACTCTGTACTTCAAGAAATGAATAATGAAGTTAGAAATTAAATGGCCATTGAACCTGAATATGAAAAGGTGAAATAAGGACAAGCTAAGAGATGGATAAAGACGAAGAGAAGCCCTCTAAAAACGGTCACTGTCCCTGTGGTTCTGGTGGTACTTGCACTTCTCTGCTCTCCCGTCGCCTCCTTCAGTTAGGAAACATATCTATCACAGCCCACTTGCAAACAAACATCACCAATCGAAACTGCATGAAGGAGTGAGCCACGATGGAACAAGAAATCTACAGAACAAAAGTTAAAAGGACGGCAAAACAGACTTAGAGAAACAGCCCCCGCACTTAAGTTAAACAGGCTCATGGTGAATCTCTTCTCTGTACTCTACGGTTAAGGTAATTTTGCAGCGCCTGGAGCTACAACCTGACAGCGAGACAGGGAGGGGCAAAGCACGGCTGACTCTCCACATCCCAGTAAGGAACAAATGGCTCATGTTGCCGTTAAATGGATGGAGAGCCCAGGGTTATCACTTTCATGCAGGTTATTCCCATGTGTCAGCTAAAAATCAATCTCCATTTAACAGATAAATCCCCTCACTGAGCCAACATCTAATATGACGGAGACTGCCGACGGATATGCTCGCATTAAACACTGATTTTAAACACTCGGAAAATTGAATTTGCGTTGTTGTGTATGAGTGGGTGTTTGGTGCAAAGAGATACTGAAAGAAAAGAGGAGATTTCCAGATGTTATCTAGCGCTGACTGATGATTCATCTGCTAACAAACTGATTGGTTCCAGTGAGTAGAACACTGACAAACTTAATGAAGGATTCAATTTTCTTTCTCAACTTTCTATCCTCCAACCTGCTGGACTCACATCACAGGATTCAAATCAAGGCCTGACCACGATGCAAATGCAGATTAACACTGACAGAAAGTTTTTGGGAAGCAGGTCCATTTTTTCTTTTTTTTTTTTCGCCTTGTTTCCAGTCGTCATGCTAATGCTTTGATATTGATTTCTCAACTATCTCTTGGCAAGAAGGCATCTGTTTGTCTGTCAGTACTAAGATACAGCAATTACATCATTAAATACTGCCATTTCTGCTTTTTAAAAACTCAATTTACAGCCTGCACTCTTTTAAAGCACATGCTACTTGTATTTAGAATATGAGTGAGAGGACATGAAAGAGTAAAAAAAAACATTTTAAGCTTAAAAAGAGAAAAGAAAGAAGTAACATTATATATTGCAACCCGTATTTGTCTGCTGCTCAGTTGTCAACTATTTTGCGAATTAATTACTGAAGCTATTTTTAAGCAAAATGCCAAACATAGCCTATTTCCAGATTATCAGTTATGAGCATCTAATGTTGTAACCAAGTGAATTTTGAAGAAACAATTTGTAAATGTCATCTTGCGCTCGGACTCTGCACCTTTTTTCATAATTTTCTTTCATTGTTTTATTAATCAATAAAATAACCCGCAGATTCATTGACTATAAAAAACAATTGTTAATTGCAGCTCTGAATGCAACTGGATCTACCTTCTCTTCCCCTGAGGGTTCCCCTGTTCTAATTAAATGGCATACTCACACTCAAGTGACAACGTATTTTGCATTTCTAGCATTCCCAGGATTTGTAAACAGCATCCAAAGCCTGTTGATGTTAATTCAAAGTCTTGGATGCGGGATAGATGTTGACACAAGTCCGACGCTGATTTAATGACCATGTATGCGGTTTGGACGAACAGAGTGTGTGCGTGGAAAGCGCCTGACACCTAACTTACTAGCCAGCTGAGGCAGGCAGTATTCCTGGTGTTGCCTTGGGCCACACAGCATCCCTCTAGTTTATTCAATGTCCTCTGGCTACATAAAAAAATAAAAAAAATAAATTCACTAAACAGAGAAGTTGTTTCTGAAGGCTGCTGTCTGGCAACCATTTCACACACTTCAAACGAGGGCGTGGGAATGAAAACAGACCAAATTGTTGCCCATGGACATGCAGTGATAAAAGAGACGCTCACACACATAGGCGAATCCTAACCGTCTCTTCCTGCTCTTAAACTCACCACTGTGGCTCTCCCACTCATTTTCTCCTTTTTCTGTCAGATAAACATATATCTCAATTTATTTCTTCAAGCTCCTTAAGCATATGTGTGGTAGCCGTGGCGGGGCTAACAGGTTAGATCTCTAAAAATGAACTCCACACAGGGGGAGGAATCAACGGGGAAAAAAGGCCGCAGGGGGAAAAACAATCCAATGACCACTTTTGGTCAAAAGCTGCAGCAGTCAGCACGGCAGCCTAAAATTTAATTTCCCCTAAAAGAGCAGCCACCTCTGTGCTTTTGGCTGCCTATTTTTAGCACGTTATCATCCTGCCTCAATCAGACCACAGCAGTCAGACTCAGAATGAAGGCTGTCAAAAACAGCGTGGAGCTCCTCAGCGACCAGAGGCGGCTGATCAAACAGTGTGCAGCGTTTAATGCAATAGCTGAGGAGGAGAAAATGGGATCTCCAGTCAATTACAGTCAGCGGTTTTGTTTTCTGTGAGGCTCTGTTGAATCAGTACTGTCAGCTGAGGGGCTTGGTTGAAGTCCTACAAAACAATGCCACTGTACGCATGCTATGACTTCATAATGAATCAGTGTTTTCACGTTCCCATCTGACTGAGGCTTCATCTCAAATGCTCTTTGTCCCTTTAACTGACAACTTTTTTTAAAGCTGCCAATGCACTGAGCACGATGCCACATTGATGCTCTTGTGTCTGATGTCCACATTAGCTACTGCCAAGGAAGAAGAAAGAAAGGAGATTGACAAGGGGAGGACAGTGACCAGCAGATCAGTGATTGATTACCCGCTTCATCTGCTCATACAATGGCACTTGTTTAGTTGTGAACACAAATCTGAAGACATTTGAGTTCATCCTTCTCCTCCCAACAATAATAATTTCAGACCGTGGGGAACGTGCGATTGTTTTGCCCAAAAAAAACATGAGAGATGAGTTTTGGAGTGATTCAAGCTGGAAACAGAGACAATTCTTGCAATTTAAAGAAAAACAGTGTGGGTGTGTTCAAGGCTGTAGCGAGACATTAGGGGCCTCTATGCAGAATGTGGGATATCTGGGTCCCTTTTCCACTTTTACACAACACTACATGAAAAAGACTGAATTACTAATTGCCTCCAGGGGCCTCTTAGTAGCACCAGCCTTGCTGTGTGTCCTAATTCAATTGAAAACTTGTAGGCAGCAGTAGATGTTATATCAGCTGACATGACAGGGGGCCTTAAAGTGGGGGGCCCCTGTTTTTAAATGTAGTTTAAAGACCTTCATTAGCCTTCATGAATCAAACTGTGTTTAATTAAATTACCACACAGGATAGAGGTCTGATCTGCTGATGAAAAACTTGCATTAAAACTTCCTGCTCCACTTTGTCAGCTTCTGATGAAAAAAAAATCTGAGTTTAAACTAGACATAACACTAACAAATACCCAATTAAAACTCACTTAAGGCACCTTAAGTCACACTTTGGGGCCCCTACGGCTCAGTTTAATGCATCCCTGTGCACACGTGAGAGAAACACTTTAAGAGACTCTTAGAAAAAAGATGCCACTTTCCCATTTCTTCCCCTCGCCTCAGCACCACACTCACCTCTCCTCCGTGGCCATCGAAAATCCCAAAAATAGACGGGTGGCTCTTGTTGACGATGTCGGCGAGCACCTCGAACCGGTCCTCCATGTGGTCTCGCCGGCCTTGGATGGAGTACACGGCCACGTTGTTGCTCTTCAACTCCCAGGTCTTGGAGAACTCGGCGTCCAGGACGTCCAGTCCACCGAACCGCTCGTTCTGCATCATCTCGGCCACTTTCCCCTTGACCATCTTGACCGCATCCCGGCTGGACTTAACGATGGTCTTCACTTCGTCCGTGTGGAAGAAGTAACTCCACAGAGCCAGGCTGATGCACAGCAGGAACAGGGTCTCCGGTCTGAGCAGAAAATAACGCATGATCCGACCTAGCAGGGACAGCAGGGTCATCGTATCCTCTATCATTTATTTATTTACACGCAGGAAATCGCGGCAGGTTGTTGTGGGTCGCTCGCGCCTTCACCCAGTTCACTCCATCGTCGCGTTTGCTTTGGGTCGCGGCGAAACAGGCACATTTAAACCGAGCGTTTCACACACTGACTCACCGGGGGCGACACTTCACCGCATTTTTTTTCTGTTAAAAAAAAACAACCACCAGGCAGGAAGGTGTCAGACCACCGGGGAACAAACGCGGAGCTCCGGCCGCTGGTTCCCCCCCTCTTAGCTCTTAGCAGCCCCGCAGTGAGCCACCAACGGCTGTCCGCTGACCATCTGCCGCGGTCCGAGGACACCGACACCCCGGGCGGAAGAAAAAAAAACGCAGGTCGCCCGTTGGGACTTCAAATTAAGCCAGTTTGCTGGCTAGAGCAGAGTTGTGGGCAGAGCCTGTGCCCCTGCCAGCCCTGCTACTGTTCCCAGTCCTGAAAATAGCGCTCTGTGCTGGAGCCCTCACATTCCCAGCTGCCACACTGGCTGCGACTCTCTGCTGCTGCTCCTCTAAACGGCGCTGCTGCCTTCAGGTACAGCTCGTAAAGTATCTCACTGTTGACCACGGAGACGTTCTTGAATTATGCTTTGTATTAAAAATATCAAAATGTGGCCACAAATACGGAACAAGGATATAGTTTACATTACTCTTGTGGTATATATCTGCCAATATTTGATATTTCACAGCATGACGTGTCATAAACAAACAGTGAAGATTTGGCAGCAATAGTGCCAGAAAAAGTACTTTAAAAAATGTTTCAAGATTAATAGCTCTTTTAAAATTTTTAATCAAATTCTTATGTACAGATTAAAAAAGCCCTTGAATGTGGTTGTTGGGCATGTATTGACTTTTTTTCTGCAATTACAGATCATAAAGTAACACAAGCACTAAATCAGTCACTATGAGTGGAAACATAGATCCTACATTAAGTTGTGGATCCAAACTGACAATCCAGACACACTCAGTACATTTGACAGCTGCAGACTCACTGACATTAAGAACCTTTATGTATGAACTGCTAAGTGGGCCTTCTATTAAAAAAACATTTGATATTTGGTGTTCTAAATTGTCGATCAGACTGAACCACTTGTTACATGTTAATAGAAATGAATGTATTAAAATAGTGGTTACCACTTTGAAAAATGAGAGAGCCTTCCAAAGAACCATTTAAGAAGTAGTAACTTATCATTATATAATATATAGACTTAAAATAGGAATTATTATGGCAGTACTATTAACAATTCTATCAAGTTGTTCATCATTCATTTCTTATGAAAATGAATTACTTACTGGATACATGTAACATTTAATTAGGAGTTGCTCACTACATAGCGGTTAACTAGCAGCTAGTTTCTTATTCATTCCTTATTTGTTCCTTGCTAACTCCTCAAAATGTATGTTTGTTATTGTAAACTAAATTAGCAAGGCACAGGCAATTTTATTTGCATTAGATATGAGACTAGTTAGTCAATCAACAAGACAGTGACAGAATATAAATTTAAACTGTTTTGCTGTAACCGACTAATTGCTTTGGTCACTTTTTACGCAAATGTAGTAGAAAAAAAGGCCAGTTGTTTTCAGATTCTGATTTCTTTAATGAGAAGATTTTTTGCACAGAAAATTAATTTTACATAGCTTTTTGTATCCAGTGCTTCATTGATATAAAAATAAGCAACACATTCATCTTTAATGAAAATACTCAGTAGTTGGAGCCTTAAATCATGTAGCACCTTTCAATTCCAAGTGATATTGTGAAGAGATGTATTAAGAGACTGTTAAAACACACACACACACACACACACACACACACACACCCAAAAGAAAGCCAAACAAATTCAAATTCTTCGAGCAAGAGAAGCAGAGTTTATAATCGAGATATTTCCGAGGGTACCTGAAGGCATCCAAAGACCTGCCAAACTACAGGTGTTCACAAAGAGCATTGAGTGGTTAATTGTAAACGTTAAAAGGGTGGAACCTGACCTTGACAATTTCATTAAACCAGTTGACAAAATCAGATAAATATCCCTTACAGCTTAATGTTGGATTATTATCTGCACAATCTGTTCAATTATCCAGACACATCAGGTTCCCACACACCCTGTGGCAAGGTGTTTTTGGTAATGTTAATTATATTTTTTTTCAGATGTGTGAGAATACGGTTAACTAAACATCATTTTGAACTAATAACACGGGGACATTGTGATGCTGAGTGTCCTACAACCCTCATTACTTCAGATTGGTTTGTGCTTAAAAATTCTAAAAATAATTTGTGTCAAAATACCACACAGCAAACTTGGGGTCACGTAACATTAAAGTGCAGGAATACTGTATCCCTTACATAGAGAGTAAGACAAATGGGAGGTTAATAGAGACCAGCAATTCATTTTTGCCTTAGGTATTTCAATGAAGCCATGGCTGGAGGGGAAATAAATTCAGGACTGTTCGTGTTCTGTGTGACTCTCAAACAAGACTTTTAAAATAATAATTCAGTCAGATAAATAAGAGACTGCCGTTACTATTACTAAAACTATAATAAAATATGTCTGGGCTGGAAGACTAGGGTCTGTGCACATTCTAAATACTAGCTTTTTTTTTCTTTGTCTAAATTCATGTCTAAAATGGTATCTCTCAAAAACATTTTCTTATAGTCTTATGTGACCTAGTATGTTGCAGTACGGCACAATTTTAGTACAGCAGGAATAAAATTCTGATTTGTAAATATATTTAGATTTTTAATTTTTAGCAAATCTACTGTGATCCAGTACTGTCTTGCTGTCTTTATTTTTATTTTATTTTACCTGGCCTTTTATTTATTTTTGTTATTATTGTTGGCGTGTATTTATTTTTTATTTTATTTTAGTTGAATTTAATTAATTATTTTTTAAAAGGACTTTTATTCAGGCAATCGAAGACAGCTTCGGGGTCCTTGAGTGCTACATGACGTCATCCAGCCTCCCTCGGTCCTCGGTGGGGAAAACGTGGAGGGCTGGAAGTGTACAGTGTGTGGTTGATTTCTCTATAAAACCACTTCAGTAAGTTTTGCGGTGACTCGTTTTTACCAGTTGTAGTTTTTCAACGCTTTAGCTCAAACTGTCTGCTTGTTTTTCCATGAATATCTTTTAGAATTACTCCTTTGAGCGACCAGTTTAGCCTCTGATGCTAACTGTTGGTCTTGAATCCAGAGCATCAGCGAGGTTAGCAGTGCTAACTGTAGTTTGTCCGGGCGCCTTGATCAGTATATAAAAATGTATATAAAAGTCTCTGTTTCTGGTTGTAAACGACGATTAACGATGTTATTAGTCGCCCGCTACTACAAATAATATTGGATTTGTTATTTGGGAGTTGCTACAAGCTAAAGTTTGCTATGCTCTAGCAGTTTTCCATCTGTCATAGCTTTAACTTTGACCGAGTACACCTGTCATGTTTCTGTTCATAGAGATCACTGAGCTGCACAGAAATCCATTGACCTGTCAACTTGACAAGAATGGAGTACATTCAAGCTCCTGCACCAAGCAGTCAGGGGAACATGTAAGTGGAAAAAATAGTTTGTTGTTTTTAAATCCTCAGATCTACAGTACTGAGTCCGAATACAATATAACTAAGGAAAACACATTTGTAAGTCAGGACAGACAATGTCAGTGTCCTTACAATGCCTCACAAGATGCAGGTGTTAGGAGCACCGATCCGCCACAGCAGTAAATCCACTGACGGGTGAAGTGGTTGAGAATCTCGTCCCAGTGCAATGTTATGTTTCGGTCCTTGCAATCATGTGGATGTTATTTTGACACGTAGCAACCACTGAACCACACTGCTGCAGACCCAGCTCACCCTGTCATGGCTCTTCTAGAAGGACTTGCCACAAACATAGCTCAGAAAATGACACAAATGTGACATCAAGCCCAAGTTGTTGATATTGCCTCCAAGCTCCCAAGAGCCTAATTCAGTAATCTGTATGACGCACTGGAGCAAGCAAACTCCACAGATGCCTTACCCCACAACGCCCAGCACCCAAAGAACCCTTTGCTGACGTCCTAATGTCAGACACCATGGGACACACTTTGAGATTCTGTGTCCACTCTCCAGTGTGTCAGAGCTGTCGGTAGTTTTGATGTTGTGGCTGATCAGTGTGTGTTTAAGTCCAAATGTTTTCAACAAGAAAAGTTTGTCACGTCTTTGCATTATTGACGGATGAATTAAAGCACGCCACTCTTCCTCAGTAATGGTCAACGTAATCTCAACATTTTTATCTATTCGGCTGCTATTATTGATGAAAGCTCTGACTATTGGACAAACAATCTGTCGTTCATTGTGATGCAGGGCTGCATTCACAAGCTGCACATCAGAAAAGCAGGAGTTGTATTCACAAAGTGCATTATCTTTCCATTAAGTGTTGTCCTAAATATCTAAAAGCCTCCCCTGAAGCCCTGTTCACAAAGCTGCAAAGAACCACTTTCAGTAAGAAATCGATTAAATGGCCCCAGGCTGGAAGATAAAGGACTACATCAATGTGATAGCGTCTTGGTTGCTAGTTCGTGAATGCCAGAGTTTCCCACTTGGAATGTAACACAGCAACTGGGATGAGTTTTCTGAGCAATCTGTGATTTTATCCATGCTGCAGCACATTGTGGATATACCTTTGACAAAAGCAAGACATCTAAATGTTTATTGTGATGATTTATTATCTCAGGTGAAACTGAACAGAAACTGATTGCCAGAAAGATGAGATTGTGGAAGCTTTGTGTAATGGTTAGCACTGATGTATAGCACATGTCGTCTTTACTGAAGAGGCTAAAACTCAAAAAAGGTTTCTCAATTAACAAAGAAAATGCCACATTAGTTTTACCAATGTTGCTTTTCTTCTCCCCAGCCTGTGCTGCACCTGTGGTGTCCCCATTCCTCCCAACCCAGCGAACATGTGTGTGGCCTGCCTGCGTACTCAGGTAGACATCTCAGAGGGAATTCCCAAGCAAGTCACTGTGCACTTCTGCAAGCAGTGTGAACGGTTAGTTTCATGAATTGTTTACAAGCAAAAATCAAATGTACTTTTTTTTTTTTTAGCCAGTTTAATATACACATTTTATTGTTTCTGTCTACAAGTCATTTAGGCCTGCAAAAGAAAAAAAGTTGCAAAGGGTGAGGCTTTAATGAGATTGTATCCTCTTTCATGCAGGTACTTACAGCCCCCAGCCACCTGGGTGCAGTGTGCTCTGGAGTCCAGGGAACTACTGGCCCTTTGCTTGAAAAAACTTAAGAGCTCTATGACTAAAGTAAGTGAGATTCTTACGAGACAAAAGACGATAGCATACTGCCACAACAGCATTAAATACACTAAAATGTACATGAACGCCACCAGTATACATTTCAGAATATTCATTGCCCCATCCTGAAGTCAGATTCACAATTTTGATGCTAAACTGTTTGCTTCAGTCTCGTCATGTTGC